CCTCCTCCTCCTCCTCCTCCTCCTCCTCCTCCTCCTCCTCCTCCTTTCCTCCCTCTGGCAAATGTCTGCCTTTCTCTTATAATGCAACATCATGGCCAAAAATCCTGTCTGGACAGAAAACCTCTGGCAATAGCATAGAAGCCATGCATTCTAGACAGAAGACTACCAGATCATTCTTTTGGATGATTGATTCTATGGGCTGGTTGCAAATAATCTCTAGCTCTATACATGTAGGCCATGAAACAGTAGACCTCCCTTTTATCTCTGGGCAGGCCTTGTATGATCTAGATATGAAGGGGTTTCCATCACTTCATTGCCATGATCAAATAATATCATGATTCAGAGATGAATGGAAACTAAATAAATTAAATTAATTCCTTAATGTAATAAGAATTTTATTTCCAGAAAAAATTTAAATAACCATATACAGTATATAAAGGGGTTAAAATGGGATGCAAGAACAAGAATTCATGAAAACAAATATTACCATTTCTTAGTATTCCTCCCACACATTAATATATTAATTGTAATGGAATTGGCATCAATCCAGCATAAGATAGGTATGATTCATCTGGTTAGCATATATGCAAATATATGCAATATATATATATGCAATATATAGCAAATATATGGTCTAATATAACATTAGACTATATAGTTAAGAAGTCAATTAATAGCAACCCATGTGAGACCTCCAATGGTGTGAACCATTGGCAACATCCAAAACAGCTGGATGTGATTACCCCCAAACAGTGTCTTCCTGGGCCAATTCAAATTGGCTCCTTGGTTTCCAGAGGCCCTCTAGGAAATCAAGTGCTTGAAATAATGCCTAGAGGGCCAATAGAGCAAAACAAAAAGTGAATCTGACCAAGCATGCTACCTACACACATCCACACCTGCACCATGGTGATATGGGAGGTGAACGATCTTTGTTTCTCCTCCTTGATTATACTGGTGTGTTATGATCTAGTAGTCTGGTTTAGGATGGTTCTTTTGGGGAGGAGTCAGTATAGAGATTGACTACCTGGCTGCTATAAGCAACTTATACAACACTTTGTCAATAAAGTTGCTCAGAATTGGGGGGACGTGACTCCTCCTAGGCAGTCAATGGTGCTCACTAGGGTATGGTCTTGCCTTATGGCCTGGGATTTTGTTTGGATGGCTTGTGAACTTCAAAGAATTTGATTGGGTAATATCTAGTTAACCTGTGCCACCCATGGCTTGAATCCCTGCCTGTCTTGGCTATTGCAAGGGGTAGAAGGGGGATCTACTAACTGTCTTAAAAGGGGTTGTGGTATGTCCCTTTCCAAAGAGGCCATCCCTGGATCAGTGGTTTTAGACACTTGTCACCCGGTCTGTCCTTCTTGGGAAGGTTGTTTAATTGATTGACTATGTATCCTTAAGTCAGTGTCAACACCTAGCAACCACATTGATAGACCTTCTCCAGGATGACCTCCCTCAAGCTGGCTCTTCAGGTCTTCCAAGAGTACACCGACTGGTCATTTTCTTCTCTTTTCTTCCACCTTTTTCAGAATTTTACACTTTGCAAAGGAGTTATGTCTTCACATATGTGTCCAAAATATGGTAATTTGAGCCTGTTCATTTGCGTTTCAAGGAAGACTTCTTTCTTGATTTCTTCTATGATCTATTTGTTTTCTTGGTTACCCTTGTATATATACATTGTGTATATTCAAATTAATTCACTAATAGCTTTGAATATAATCAGCAGATGAGGGACTGAGATTTTCTTACTTAAAACAACTCACTTGCTTTTCCTACATCCTCCTAACTGATTATATTATTAGATCCTGCAACCTATGGCAAGATGGAATCTCCACGTTCAAGGACCAATTATCTCTGTTAGCTACCAGTTCCATCCAAGAATATCAAACTATTTGGCAGGTAAATTCCTAATCTAATCATTGTGTCCTAAAGAGTTACTTTTGAAGAAAAAGCAGAACATATACAACATCTAAAAGAGTTGCCCGAAATAACTGATCTCATCTGAAGTAAATACTGGCAAAAGAGATCATGTTCCACAACATATATTTCCAGTAAATTTTGCTGAAAGACAATTCATTTTTAGAAATCCACTACTGGATGATGGTATGATCACGCTGGCTTGTTTTCCACATTTTGAGTGAAGGCTCTTTTTATGCTTGACATTTCATTTAAGGTTTGCATATCTTAATAAAGCAAAATCAGGGAGACAACATCTTCAGCATTTCAAAATCTGAGGGCTTATCTACAAAACCAGGTTTCCGCATAGGCAGTATGGAGCAGTGACCATTTTTACAGGTCACGAACAAATGATATCACCTGTTCTGCCTTCAAGGTGTGTTTTCCTGCTTCTGTCTGCTGTAGTGCTGCCTTCTGTGTTGCCTGCTGGGCTTGGCTTTCTTCTAGGCAAATGACTCCAGTCTGGCTACTTTGTAGATGGAGTTATTTTTTCTTGGTTCTTCTTGTTGAAGTAATGATTATAAAATGAGCCCAGTGTGCAAAACATCACTGGTTCAGAATAAGCCTGCATGATTTCCAAAGGTGCACCAGGAGGCTTATTATTATATTTAAAAGAAAAAAAAAACTAGCGAATTTTGAATTGGTTACATTCTGAAAGTCAGTCCAGTGCTAAAATCATTTTTTCAATGAAAAAGACCTTCAGTAACAGTAGTTTTAGTAGACTTTCTTGAGGAACAGCTGAGGAAATGCAGGGAAAGGTTTTTGTTTTTCTTTTGTTTATTTTTTAAATTTGAAGCTGAGTGTTTGTGCCTGCATATGCTTTAGCTTTGTACATATCCATTCAAATTAACTGTGCATCATATAATGTTATACGTGAGTGCCTATTTATACATACATATACAAATATATATGTCCTGAAGGCCCATCCCTAGGAAGAAAGCAGCTGAAAATTTCTGTTTTGGAAGAGAAAGTTGGGAGGGAACAGCAGCAGCAGAGGAATTATCAAATGAGCCGACATGGCAACCTGAAGTGTGGACTGAATATCCTGCAGGGTGCTGCCAGAATGTCTCAACCCAACCAGATTTAGAGGCAATTCAGCATAATCAAGGGTTAGGAGTACACGAACAGCATGGTGAGGCTATACCTTGAGGTAATGGTAGGAAATCTTTCAAGTTCAGTGTGGAGGGTCAAATTTGTAACCTATAAAATTACTGAAAGAACTCATAACTCTTTAGAAAAATATGAGGATGTTCTACCATTATTCTGCTAAAAGGGAAGAGGGAATTGAAGAGATTGTACATATCTTTGTCAATTTCCACTTCTTGCATGTCCACTGATTTATATCCATTGTGTCATGTTGCTTTTTTTTTTTACAAGGAAGAGATGTAACAACTGTGACGTGCCAAGACAGCTTTCCTACTTCTTCAGTGGCTTCTCCACTTAAGATGCTCCCGGTTGTTCAGTTCAGGCCGCACAACTATAATGTACCATTTGGGGAAAAATATGAAAGTCAGCAATCCAGCACTGGAAGCTAAAATAGAGAAAATCTCCACAGCAACCATGTATTTTCCTTTGGTACTCAGGTGTGTTGGGACAAATGACAGCCACACACTGACAAACACTAACATGCTGAAAGTAATGAATTTGGCTTCATTGAAACTGTCAGGTAAATTCCGGGCAAAGAAAGCTACAATGAAGCTGGCAATGGCTAAAAAGCCCATGTACCCAAGCACACTGTAAAACATGATGGGGGATGCCTCATTGCATTCCAGAGTAATTTCACCTGTTCCTGAGTGCATATCAGTATCTGGGAATGGGGGACTGGTTGCCAGCCACACGGTACAAATGCCTACTTGAATAAGAGAACAAAAGATAACAATGGAGCTGGCCAGGCCTTTCCCCATCCATCTGGTCCTCTTTGTTCCTGGTTGGGTGGCCAGGAATGCCAGAACCACAGTGATGGTTTTGGCCAACACAGAAGACACAGCTACTGAGAAGACAATGCCAAACACTGATTGCTGCAGGACACATTTCACCTTCTGAGGCTGCCCAATAAAAAGCAGGGTAGAAAGGAAACAGAGCAGGAGGGAGATGAGAAGAGTGTAGGTGAGGTCCCGGTTATTGGCTTTGACAATGGGAGTATTGTGGTGCACTATAAATGTTCTTAACAAGACAACTGTGATCAAGGAAAAGAAATGAGCACTGGTGGCTAAACCTATCCCCATAGGTTCATTATAGGATAAAAAGGTTACAGTTTTGGGGATGCAGGTATTCTGATGCTTGTTTGGGTAATGATCTTCTATGCACTCAACACATTCAGGCATATCTGGAAACAAAAAGTTTAGCCTTAGTTACGCAAAAGTTTGATACTGAAGTTGTTGATAGGAATAATGATCAAGAGTCTGCTACTGAGGAAGAATTCTCCAAGAAACGCTTTTCCCTTGAGAGATGAACCATTGTTAGAGATGCCCAATTCCAGATGGCTTATCTGAATTGCACAGAAATGCATGCAACTCTATGCTGATTCTACTGACCTCTCTCATTCTCCCTTCTTCTTCCCACCATTGGAAGGAACGCAGGAATAAATTAATGCAATGTGTTATTGTGGGGAGCCTCTTTACCCTGAGCATCTGTTCACTAAGAATTAGGCCCAATGTACCCAAACCCCAACAACTCCACGTCCATCTATTACCACTTTCCTGAGCTACCCAGATAGATAATACAGAGATCTGCCTGATCTTCTGACATGAAGCCCTTTTATTATCCCTCTATTGGTAACTAATGTGCTCTCAAAAATTGCACTGCCCTCCCTTACCTTCCCACTCAGAAATCTTTCCTTCTGGACAGGGAATGCAATCATAGCAGCAGAAAGGCTCCCCTTCTTTCCTTTGTTTCCTGTAACCCGGTTGGCAATTGTCGTTACAAACTGAAAGAGGTTGCACCTAATTCACCAATGACAGTGGAAAACATAAATCAAGATAAACCTTCCCAAGGATAAGTTAAGAATCTTTACAGTCCAGAGGAGAAGATAACATATAGTTACCTATTACTGGATATGTTCTTTCGGTTAAAATGCTCTTAGCCCAAATTATCCTGTTCTCCTAACTTCCTATCAGAATGTACAAAGAAAGCAACTTTGATATTTTGATTATGTTACAGTCATTAAATATGGGAAGGGTAAGATATGTAGTTCTTCTGAAGATATACATTTTCCTTAAAAAAAAAAAAGAAGAAGAAGAAGAAGAAGCACACCATCTGAAGTACTAAAGGTATAGATATAGATATTTTTCTAAACCTGAAACTGTTCTTCTATAGATAGATTCCTAAAAATAACAATAACAAATAAAAAAATGAAAATAACACGGTTGGATAAATTTACTGTGCATTGGTATAAAACATTGATTGATATACTTTTCTAGTTGATATATAAATTCTGTCTACAGTGTGTGTCTCTGTGTATATTTCTCAATAAGATTTTTGCAAATGGTATTTTATCTTCTTCATTTAATGAAGAATATATTAGTTATACAAAACCCTGGTAAAAAGAGCATATGTTATGTCCTAATTAGAGTCCTATTTTATAGCCTAATGTAGACATTAGCTAACAGACTTAATTGAGTAATTTTTCCAGTGGTGAAGGATAATTGAGTGGGCTTTATTAAAAGTAGACTTGTGTCAGAATGTTTGGCTGGTTCCAGATTGGATTGAATTCAATAAAAAGCGATGAGACAAAGCTCTCTTGATGGGGAAATGCTTTGGATAAAAAATATGGGTTGTATATGTATGTTTCCATAGCCACAGGTGGAGTTCCTAAAGATGGTCTAGATTTTCTATGAGACCCCCAAATGGAAAGTGAAGGTCAATGGTCATTCTTCATTTTCTTTTTTACTCCATAATGGTACTAGACAAGGATGTCAACTTATTTTTATTTATTTATGATTAGATTTATATCCAGCTTTTATTTTGTCCAACTCAAGGAGGCTTACACAATGCTCCTGCCTCCTATTTTCCCTACAACGACAACTCTGTGAGGTGAGTTCCCACAGGTTTGCATTTTTCTCCTACCTGATTAAACCAATTTTGCCATATGATGGGATTTTCATTCAGAATAACTTTTTGGTCTCCTGGAGCTTGAGAACTGACCATTCCAACTTGTAGTTTAGTAAAAGACAGGTTTGAAAACAACACCCAGTTGATGACATCAAATTTTGTTAGAAACACACCATTCTGGTCAAAGGAAACCTTGTCCCCTATGGTATTGTTAAAAGACACTTGCTTCAGGAAATAGAAGAGCTAGATGGAAAGGGAACAAATGTTTAAGGAAATCTTCCAAAAACAAGGAACTGAATATTGGTTAAATATATCCTGAAAGACAAGAGCATATATGTATCTTAACATTTTTCTTAAAAAACAAACTGCAAAAATAAGAGCCAGCTCCAGACATCACACACAGAATGAAATTATCTCACATCTGAAATAATTCAACCTTTCTTTTAGTATCAGTTTGTTGCAATGATAAGCATCAGGCTTAGATAGCATGGTCAGTGATGAGAGTCGGTCATTCCAGTCCAATGGCATCTGGACACAGATCACTCACATTGTTCAAAAATCAAGGAACTGCTTCTCAAAAATTAGCAATATGAAGTTGGTCCTGGAGAACTTTCATAAACTATAGGCTTCATTCAAGATTAGTCTTAGGGAAATATAAATACATGACATGAAACTATATGTGAAAGTATTATTGAATGCCAGTATTGCCACCAGTGAATACTTGTAGGAGTTAATTGTCAAATTAATTAAGTAGCTTATAGCTACAATTATTATTTGTACGTTTACATATAACCTTTACATAACAGAATTCACATTTTCTTTCTTTCTATACTTTCCTTAAGGAATCGATGTTAAAAGATACACTGTTATGTGTATAAAAACTTGACATCTTAAAGAAACAGACAAAATAAAATGGATGGAATTTTCTTCTATAGTTTCTCTTTTACAAACCTTGCTATTTTTTAAAAAAGCTGGACTACTTAGATAGTTAAATAGACAGGATTATGCTGATCCTGCATTCCTACTAACACTTTTGATCCAAGGTTTTCTTTAAAACATTACTAATATGCTACAGAAGAATTTTTACATTAGTAATGGCCCCATCACTGAGAATAAAATACTAAAGGAATAAAACAGTAAAGGACCTTAGAGATTTACATTACCTCCCATGCCTGCTGAGTCAGAAATGTCTGCCTCTCCCTCTCCACCCCTCTTCTGTGCTTGAGTCTGGATGACAACATGGCATGCAAAGCATGAGCCACAGCAAAGACAGCATTATAGATGCTGTAGCTGTGCCCAGTAGTGCTTTTTTCTATACGGTTTTCAGGAACGTTCTCCAGGCTCTCCAGCCCAGTGCAGAGGTCACGATTTCTATGCTTCAGAACTGAGTTGGGGAAGGTGCAGCCAAAAGCGTAAGACCAAAAGTCCCTTATTAAAAAATCTTCTTTTGCATTGGAAGGCTTTCTGTCCTCAATAAATTGCTGAAATCCTGGCAGCTCATTGGAATGGACAGCCAAGGATAAAGCACCGTGGTAGATTACTTCAGCAGCTTTCCACCCGTGATTACTTCCATAGTTCTTAAACTCAAGCTCAGTGGTCAGAATCCATACTTTACCATATCTCTTATTTGCTGTCTCATATTCTTGGTTCATATGAAGCAACAACTTCAAAATCACTACAGTGCGGAGATCACCAAACAGGAGATATATATTGGCTGTGCTGGTCATAATTCTATTCCATAGCTTAAATCTCCATTTCCTTAAACCCCCATATTCATTTTCCATGCCTACATTGTAGACTGTATCAATGAAAGCAAAACAAATGCCATACGGGGCAAATTCTGGAATCATCACTTGAAATATCCATTCTGAATTCATTCCAATGGAAGTGAATAATCCAACCCACGTCCACCTGAAATATAGAAGTAATTCCAGAATCTCCTTGTACTGATGGGCCTCATTTGGGACCATTTGGTACAAGTAAGGGGCTTGGGTGTGATCCATCGTCACTGGAGCAGAGCCATAGGAGACCTAAACCGATTGGAGATACAGCAAAGAAAGATTAATGTTTATATCTGCTTATT